AAATAAAATATGGTCCCGTCCACTGGATTTTAATGAATTTCCAGAAATTTTTGATTTCAAAAATGAATATGGTAACTCCCTTCCATTTGTGCATGAAATGGACATTACACTATTTTTTGATATAACGGAGCAGATATTATTATCATCTCCGTGTCCTTCTTTAACATGCTACGAAAAAATTATATCCTCGATTTTACCTGAAGATGAAGGAATCTGTAATATCTTTGATATTTGTGAAGACTCCGATGACAGCGCCAAGGACAAAGATTATGATCCTGAAACAACGGTAAAAAGGAGAAACAATGCATTTAAGATCTTCGATATTAAAGATTCATCAAGTAGTAGCAGACAAATTATAAAGCCAGCCGACATTCACAATGCTCCAACAACAAGTGCAAATAGACCTGGTTCAAGACTCGAAAATGAACAAGAACATACCGATGACATGCTTGTAGTTACCTCAGAGGTGATAACAGATGTTGAGAATAAATCAATGTCTCCTATCATAAATGATAAAAGTGTTAAAAAATCAGGTTTAACCAGGAAAAGACGCAAGTTTGATCTCCCACTATTGGAACGTGCAAAGCAGAAAAAAATAACGGATGACGAAAAATTGTCACTCAAACCGCCATGTGATGACAAGTATCGTCAAAAGTGTACATTAAAGATAACCAACGAAGAACGAAAAATTATACACGACCGTTACATAAATTTAAATTGGGAATTTAGAGGAGTGTATATAAAAAGTACCATTTAGTCAAATAAGATAAAAACTGGAACAGTTTTATGTGATAATGAAAATGTTAAAAGAAATCTTTCTCATAGATATTTTTTTAACGTTAATGATGAAAAAGTTTATGCATGTAAAACATATTTTTTGACAACACTTGGTTATACCGCAAAGAATAATAGACGCATTTATAATGCACTTCACAAGGAAATTGATGAACAGAAAGACAAACGAGGCAGTTATGAACGCAAAAATGTTATAGATAAAAATTCCGTCACGGCTCATATCCAAAGCTATAACACTATGATTTCACATTATCGTCATGAGCATACTCCAAATAAATTTTACCTACCCAGTGATATAAATATAACAATGATGCATCAAAACTTTGTTACTAAATTTCCAAATGTTACAGTATCATTGAAACATACCGCAAGACATTAAGAGAGATGAACAACAAGAGAGAGATAGAATATCTAGAAAAACACAAAATACTTCACTGCAACCAATATGGCTTTAGAAAAAAGTGTAGCACTACACTAGCTATACAGAAAATTGTGAGAGATATAGTTGATGCTTGGAGGAAGGTCATTTTGTGTCTTTGACATTGTGTGACTTATCCAAAGCTTTTGACTGTGTTTCGCATGAATTACTGTTGGAAAAAATGCATAAGTACGGTATCAGGGGAAACACTCTTAATCTATTTAGATCATACCTAACAAATAGAAAACAGGCAGTTTTTCTTAATAACAGCTATTCTGAGTTTAACACTGTCGAATATGGTGTACCTCAAGGTTCGATATTAGGACCCACTTTGTTTCTTATTTATCTGAACGATTTATTTCACTACACTTTTCCTATAAAATGTGTTTGCTTCGCAGATGATACAACTCTCATAAATACTGATATTAATCAGAATAATTTAAAAATTAAAATAGATAGTGATACCAAGAAAGCAAAAAACTGGTTCTCACATAATGGGCTAATGCTAAATGAAGAGAAAAATCAGAATTTGATTTTTAGTTCTGATTGGAAGTATATCTTAAGAAACAGTGTTAAACTATTAGGAATCTTTATAGACGATAATTTGGATTGGAGTGCTCATATAGATTACTTAAGTTCTAGACTTGCTACAAGTATATTTTTAATGCGCAACTTAGTTTATATGATTCCTAAAAATACCCTTAGAATGTGCTACTTTGCACTATTTCATAGCCATTTACAGTACGGAATAACTGTTTGGGGTAATTCTTCTTACGCAGATCGAATTTTTAAATTACAAAAAAAGAGTAGTGAGGATACTTGCAAGAGCAGAGTATAGGGATCACTGTAAACCTTTATTTCTGGATTTAGGTATTATGCCACTACCTTCACTCTATATTTATAACACGCTGATTGAAATTCATGCCAACAAAGGTAAATTTAACGTAAACTCCAACGTCCATGATCACGATACAAGATCTAGAGATGCTATTAGAGCACAACGTTTTAGGTTGACAAAGAGCGTAAAAAATTCGACTGACGTTAGTTTGTATAACTGTTTGCCAGATGAAGTAAAAAGTCTTCACTTGTTATCATTTAAGCATAAAATCAAATCACACTTTTTGAAACATTGTTTCTATTCAAAAACGGAGTACTTAAGTACAGCTTTTACACAATAGTACTAGTTTGGTCAGGGCAGTTGTCTATTATAATTATATTTCATGTTTTTTTTTTATAATTCCACAAAGTGTGTTTGTCGTTTTTTTTTTTAACTGTTAATATTAAATACATACATGTTTGTAATGTTTAAATTATCCAAAAAAAATTTATATGTTTTATAAGTATTGTCACTATTCCTTTGACTTGTCAAAAACAAAACTATTTTTGTATATTTGATTAAATAAATTCTATTCTATTCTATTCATTTCCTCTGCTCAGCTTGGAAATGAAGAATGTGAGCAATGCACTTTATTCCAGTCACACAAGAAAAGCAACAAAAATGCAATCAAGAAGCGTCATGCGAAAAGTGCATTCTGTATAATAACCATGATTTTCGTTACAAAACATCTAGAGAAGAGTATCAAAAAGATTTTAATTAGCTTTGACTGAAGATTGTATTTATTTTTCTGTGGACTAAAAAAAGATAATAATGCTACCTCGAATGGATCAATACAAAATTGCGATCTTTTGCCCTAGGATTATCGCCTTTAATGAAAGTTTCTTTCCCCTTGGAAAGGCCGGAGGCAATAATATACCATACGCAGTGTTGTGGAATGAAACTATTTCTGGTCGACAGCAAGAAGACATTATATCAGCATTCAGAGATTTTTTTATGAGCAAGCGAGATCTAAAACAAATACGTTTGTGGGCTGATAAACTGCGCAGCCCAGAACAAAAACTGGGCTTTTATGTGTTTTCTTGTAAACATGGTAAACAGTGGACTCACATCCACCGAATTAATTACAGTCAAATACTTCGGGCCAGGGCATACTTTCATGTCGGCAGATTACTTCCACCATCAGGTTGAAATGTCACTGAAAAAGAAGAATAAGGTTTACGATTACGATGACTTCGTAGACGCCGTGAAAAATTCTAATGCAAAAAAAACACTGTTAAAACTATGTCGATTTCCAGTTTTTCCAATTATCAAGATTTTTCGTCTCGACATAAACTTAAAACACACAGAACCAAGAGTGTATTTAAAGGATGTGATGTCGGTCAAAGCTGAAAAGGGTAAATTTACCAAAAAGTTTAGAGAAAGGCATGTTGCAGATTGGAAAGAATGTGATTTATTGCAAGCAGAAATAATAAAAAATAAATATTTTCCGGATGTTACCACTAAAACATTACCAAGAGGAATTACAAGAGAGCGAAAAGCGGAAATACTGGCCAAATTGGTACCGTTGATACCCGAAAATAGAAGACATTTTTGGAAAGATTTGTCTGAATCAAACAGTGCTTCCAATTTACCCACGGATGATTGATTTTGTTGGATTGTTTTTTTAACGTTTAATAGTTTTAGAATTGGTAGTAGTAAGTACCTATCATATGCTTAAAAAGTTTAAATTTGATTTTTATTTTTAAAAATAACTTAAATCACATTCATGTACCTAAGTGACTCTTTGAAAGTATATCATAGAATGTGAAAGTGTGCCTTATATTTGAAGTTGTCATATTTACACTAATAGGTACAACTAGGTAAATTGTTTAAATGTGTCTTATAGTTTTTAGAAGTAATATGTTTGTTTTTGGTATTTTTTGCTTTTTATCGTAGTGTGGAGTCTCGAAAATTCCAGAATTTTTGGTTTAATTTTTTATGGTATAGTTCTCTACTTACCGATATATTTTAATCCAAATAAATGATTGATTCGAAAAACTGCTTTTGATTTAATGCTTTCTTTTTAGTAAATGCACGTTGCAACAATTTGGTAAGATTTGATTATTTTCCATGACAAAACTGCATTATGTGAGATAGTTGATGCACTTATCACATGTAATATTAATAAATATAATTAAAGGTTTGCTACTGAGTACTGCATTATTTTGACTTACATAACATAAATGCATTAAGTGGTTAGTTGATGCGTTTATGACTAATTATGATAGTATTAAAGTATTATGTTTCTAGCGATAAGTACCTTTTTTGAATATATAGCACACTATAATATAATATACTTATAAGTATTTGTTTATATTTTTTACAATTACAACACTTTTCTCTTTGTTTTATTATAATTTTATGTCGATATCTTAAGTAGTTTATGAGATACAAGCAAATTAAATATAAAAACTTTGACCGCGTTTTTTTCGAGAAGTATAAAAACTGAGAGAATGCGTTTATCGTAAGCGCGGCAGCATGTGTAGAGAACACTGGAATGAACTGAGGGAGGCTTATGTCCAGCAGTGGACGCGATTAGCTGATTGATGAATCCCAACCAAATTTACAAAAAAGTCAACATTTAAAGCCATCAAAAAAAATGTAATTAACAACACCCATAACTATTCACTACAAAAATGAAAGACATCAGGAATAAGAAAAAGATTCTTTTTTAAACAATGATAGTTATATAAAATAGACGAAAAATAAAATATAGAATATAGGCAACAATGTTCTTTACCATAGCTCTTTACTGTAAATTTATTAAGCGACAGCCTTATACTATATACATTTTTAGAATAATAAACTAATCAGTTTATTTTATGAAGGAAGATGTCAGTAATTCTGTAAAGCAAATTGCATACATTAGGGATAATTTATTTAATCAAAATCACACACAACATATGCACAACATAACCTATCATTTTCGCGTTCCAATTTATTATTCCCATGTTTTGTATACAGATTTTTCTAAAAGCCGCATATAAACTGTATCAGAAATTACAAAGAATGTACAAATAGATTAAGCTCAAAAGTGTACAATAACTGAAGAATTGATAGATTTAATTATGGAGAAGAATATGTAGGTGAAAATTTTCGTTTAAACTTAGTATTTGAAATTTAAAAAGTAATTTCTTATAAAAACCCAAATTTCATCATCCTAGCCTTAGCAACTAGTATAAGATTGTAGAACATCGATAAGAGCTTTAATTGTTACTCTATTTGTATTTAATAAGTTTTTATTTCCGTTAACCGATCCGTAAATTACAATATTTTTGGTTAATTTTAAAGCTTACAATACTTAATAACTTTTCGCCTCGGCCTCCTCTTAAACCTTATTTTAGGGTATCTCATGGAAGTGATAATGCAAAAAAAACTCATGGGAATATTTTTCTTTCACCTTGTGTGTTTATATTTTGTAATTGTATATAAACATAAACTCCTTAAATATTCTTTTTTGTAAATCGGCACCATAGTTTTTAGGGCTTTTATATTAGTAAAATTAAATGTAATTTTTTTTAATGGAAATATTTGTTTTGTTTTAGTTTGATTCATCTGGATTTAAAGGGAGCTCCTCCAAAACCAGCATATTTAGCAAAGGTGGGTAACGAATCATATTAATCAAATCAGTAGGTTTAGTCTTAACAGTAGATGTTAGAATAATGCTAAAGAATGAAGTTCTTGGTGACTCTTGCAATATGTGGCCTTCGTCATTCTGCTGAAAAATTGGATGTTAAGGGATTGGAAGGTAGGGTACAAGATGAGGTTTCAGAATTTCTTCTATGTATCTCTGAGCTATCATGTTAACTCTGATGAAGATTAAACCATAAGAGCTGACACCTCACACCATAACCCCAACAGTGTGGTATAGGAGCTGTTTGGCATAAAACTGTGGATTTAGTCTTTCACCACGTCATCTTCTGACTATAATTACATTTATTATATTACTGATGACATTGAAGCCTATTAGGTCAATATTTAGGGGGTAAGAGTTTGTCCAAGATTAAAAAAGGCCACAACTGCAAATTTGACTATAAACTGTTTGCATACCAATTGGTCTTCCATGTTCTGCAAACCAAAATTATTAATTTTGAAAAATTAAAGGCAAATATCGAGCACAATTGTATTAATCAAATCTTGTCCAAGTACTTTCGCTTTCTACAGCATAATCAGGGGCATTTCATCAAATTTGGGATATCCAGCAAGCACATAATGTAAGGACAAACAGTTTAAAATTATTTTAAAAATTATTCTTCGCTACATTCTTGTCGGCAATAGGAGAGAGAATGATTATTTCTCCTATTGAAGTTTATAAATTTCTTAAAAAAAAAGTTAATTCGGAACTTCAAATCCCTGGTGCTCGGTAAAATTTATCATATCTCGATTAAATATGGACCAGTTTCGCTCTTTTTTTATGTGGAGTAGCTGACAATTTTGTGAATATTGTTATAGTTATCTTTTGGGTGTGATTAAAACTTTAGTACTTTAGTTACTATTATTATTTATTTTTAAATTATTCTTAAAATCTTTATTTTACATATCGTTGGTATATGTACTGCGAAAACCAGGTAAATGACAAAGTTTAAAATATTGAGTTAAGTATACCAAAATTCTCAGCTTTTTCCGCTCAACATACAGGTAAAACCCAATAAAAGATATGACTTACCACTCAGCAGATAATTTGTGTAATAAACAAATAAGTTACACCTAACCAACTTTTCATTTTCAAATAAAACAATATATCGCTACTTACTTCCATAAAATTAAAGTTCTATTGTATGGAAAACAAAGTAAGCTCATCTATATTATTGTGCCGGACAACAATATATTTCTACTACTGTATCCCATAATCAAAGTGTCTGTAATACATTTTACGTGTATGAATTATTAAAATTTTTCTTTCATATCAACTAGTAAAAACCTTTAACGATTTCATTCTACCTGAAAACAGGTTGAGTTAAAATTTAGAAATGATTACTAAGCTAAAACCATAAGTGATCTTAATGGTGTTTATGATATAATTTTACTGCTAATAAATTAAGCTAATAATATAACATTATGCTAAAATTAAGCAAACTATTAAATAAAATTGCTTGTCTTCTATATTTGTGACCAGGAAGAAAGTTTTGAAATACTTTGTTAATAAGTATTAATAGTTACAGTTAAGTCTATATGATTTACATACAGCTGATTTGATAGCCTAATGATGAGAACTTACTTTACTTTATCGTGTCAGACATGTCATTCATAAATTTCGGCCAGTATGGGCTAGTCGGTTCCATCTTGATGGCGAGCACAAATCTTCAAGGTACATCGATGAGGAACCATTTTCTGCATGTAAGAATTGTTCCATATTCGTGATTCCCACATCACAGTTCACATCATCTGGTTATTTTCCCATTTGCCATGTTTGATTTACTGAGCAACCCGTTCTTACCTATTCAAGGTTTCCATGTTTAAAGTCTAGGGTCTGGCGGTCCATTGATGACGATGAGAAAAAAAAGAAGAAAGATGATGAGAAAGAAAATACTGACGTATGTGCTGCCACGAACAATTTAGTGTCAACTGAAATATCTAGTTGGATATTAAATCAACTTCTTGATAAAGTGTGGAAAAGACATATGTCCACTAAAACGTTGGAGAAAAGCTAACTCCAAAGATTTGGTAATAAATGTCGCAAAAAGGAAGCATGCTGAGGGTTTGCCTTGTAAGATAAAAAAAAAGAATAGACCAGCATAATTGCCAAAAACTGTTAATTGTTCAAAGTGCTGCTACAAATGTACCAGTTACTTCAGCGAAGATTACAGACTTTTTTATTTATTTATTTATTAACGGGATACCACCCAATTTAATATATACACAAAGTATTACAAGTATTATCTAGTGATACAATAATTATAAAGATATAGTAAATATGTATGAAAAGAATTGGCGATGCAGCTATATAGAAAAAAAAAACAAATATTAAAATTATATAAAGCACATAGCAAATATAAATCACATAAAATTACAAAATTTTTTTTAAACACATTCTACAGACATTTTCCGAAGCGCACAGCAACAAATCAAAGTCTATTCTATTTCCATTTAGAATGATTCTACTCAGTGGAGAATGCCTACCAAAGTTAGAGCGATGAAATTTAATTGCAAAATTTTGAGATGTTCTAGTAACTCTAGAGGGAACATTAAAGTCAATTAGAGACAGTAGATCATTGCAATTAATTTTTGAATTCAGTAGTTTATGAAGAAACAAAACATCAGCATACATCCGTCTGGAAGATAGCCTAGGAAGGTTTAATGTATTTCTAATTTCTGAGTAGGAATGGTCGCTTAAAGGTTTGTGTAATTTAAAACTTAAGTACCTAATGAATTTATTTTGGACTTTTTCAAGCTTGGCTATATGGACTTCATAAGTGGGTGACCAAACGACTGAGCAATACTCAAGAACAGATCTAACTAGGGAAATGTAAATCAGTCTGATGGAATTAATGTTATGCAAACATCTAGAGGTTCTAATAATGAAGCCTAACATTTTAAATGCCTGGTTATTCACATAATCAAAATGAGCGCAAAAATTTAGTTTGGAATCTAATTGAACACCTAGATCTCTTACAGTTGAGACAGCCTTCAGTGGTTCTTCAGCTAATTTGTAATTATAAGAGAGGTTGTTAATTCTTCTACAGAAACTAATAAAGTGACATTTTCCAACATTAATGCTCATTTGGTTCCAATTGCACCATGCCATAATTTTGTTAATATCAATTTGGAGTTTTTCACAATCTGAGACATCTTCGATAATTCTATAGATTTTTAAATCATCAGCAAATAGCAAAAATTTAGAGTTAATTTGAGATTTAATGTCATTAACAAATATATTAAAAAGGAAAGGCCCTAAGTGGCTTCCTTGTGGAACACCAGATGTTACGGAGATCTCACTAGATTGAAAGTGTTTAATTTTAACAAGTTGTATTCTGCTAGTTAGGTAACTACATAACCAGTTATACAGATTGCCTGTAAATCCAATAGTTTTAAGCTTGTTACACAACAATTTATGATTCACAATGTCAAATGCTTTGGAGAAATCTGTATAAATAGCATCCACCTGTAGTCTCCTTTCCAAAGCATCAGATATGTATTGCGTGAAAAGTAAAAGATTTGTCGAAGTTGATCTACCTGAAAGAAAACCATGTTGCTCTTCAATTAGTACATTGCATAAAGGTGTTTTAATAGAGTCACATATTATACTCTCTAGTATTTTAGGAATAGAAGAAAGAATGCTTATTGGTCTGTAGTTAGCTATGTTACTCCTGTTACCTGATTTATGAATAGGAACAATAAAACTAGATTTCCACAAACTTGGACAAATACCTGAATCAAGTGAATGAGAAAACAGAAAATATAAGGGATGGGTTAACGTACATCTACATTTTTTTTAATAGTATGGGTGGAATTCCATCTGGCCCAGAGCCCTTATAAATGTCTAAATTGGCTAATTTTTCAAATATGATTTCAATAGATACATTACAAGAATTTAGACTCACTGTTTTCTCATACTCTAAGATGGGCTGTATTAAATCATCATCATTTGCTCTGTAAATATTTTGAAAGCATTGCGCAAAGCTATTAACGATATCCGCACCATTATTAAGCATTGTGTTTCCAAAAAACATTGTGTTTGGTAGACCATTATTTTTGCGTTTGCTGTTAACAAAATTCCAAAAGTGCTTTACGTTTGAACTAATTCTAGATTCAATTTGACTTATATAAATTTCATGACATGACCTGCAGACAAAGACTATGTCGTGAATATTGAAAGTTAGAATATATATTCTAACTATATAGGCTAGAAAAATTTTCTTATTGTCCGTATTAAAACGGAGCCACCAAAGAGAGTCGTTGGGGTTAGTCAAAGTTTATAAAAACCACATGCATTTTACAAAAAGTGTTACTTTTCTTTGAATGGTCAAGACATACAGGTATGTGAGAAATTTTTTTGTAAGACGCTTTGTCCAGCGTCGTTAATGTTGTAAGAAAAACTGATATTCTATACTGTTATGCAGATACGGATGACAAAGGCAAGCATACACCACCAAATAAAATAAGCTGTCACAGCCATTTGATAATTATTTTGTTTATATGCACATATATTGTTATGTTGAATGCTGAAGTTACAAAATCTCTTATTAAAATTCAAATTATAGCTATAAAACCTTTTAAATCATAACAATCTTTCCACTTGTCGGCAATAATTTTTATATTTTATCACCATCACTTCGATTTATTTTGTTTATTTTAACGCGTAAGTGGTGTAATAAAAATTTATGAGGTTCTTACAGTGGACTAAGAATCTGACCGCTGAACGGTCGGTATCCGTGGCGTAGTATTTTTTTAATTTTGTGTATGTATAGATTGATGCTTATAAGTGATAATTTTGTTACATCATTTTTTAAAAGCACGCGATATGTTTTGTTGGGAACTGGCAAATATAGATTTTCAATAATTTTGAAGTTTAATTTTGTAATATACAAACCGTGTATTTTATACGCAAATTCGGGTAGAATTGCGTTGGTACACACTAACACACTTAACATATTTGGGGA